GCGAAGAACCCCTCGTATCGGGGCTCGGGCAAAACACCTGCCCTCGGGGATATCGGAACCATATCCTCGAGGTCAGATTTGAAGATTGAGACTTCGGAGAACATTACCAAGCAGTTGCACATGACTAACAAAGGGTCGTGATGTCCGTGCCTAACCGGATATCACAGCGTGAATCTCGACTCGTATCGGCAAAAAATCAGTGATTGGTGAGACGGAAGATTTTTACCTTTTTTAGAATTGTACTTAGGGTAAAACTCCCCTACTATATAAAGGGGAAAGCTTATTATTCATGGGACAGATTGTAACACGCATATCAAAGCAATATACTCTTATTGTCTGTTAGTAAAAATTCTTACTTTGATTCATCAGTTCTTCATTAGTGTGAACCGGGGATCGAAGGCAGGCACTTCATTAAGTTGTTATTGAGTTCGGGATCACTCTTATTATCGGTTTGATAATTTATCACGTCTTTTATCTGCTTAATCTAACGCAATTTATCATTTGTATTGAATTAATCCGCGTATCCTTAAAACCACATATAAATTTAATTATTATCCATTTTTTAGGGTAAACAATATCATGGTTTCTCTCTATATTGTGGTCTCAGCTTCACTTGTTATAATAGGTATCACGTCTAGTTTTTCAGATTATTAATTCTAATATCTATGGACGGTTACCTATAATTGTGTTTGAAATAACATAATAGGGTAAAACGATATCACATTATTTATGTATATATAGTAGTAGTTAATTGTTTTCAAATTGAAAAATAAAAAAATAAAAACTTGGAAATGTTCGTCGTGGTTTGTGGGGGCGGGTAGATAAGCCACACGTAGATGATGATGATTGATGTGGAACATAATGTTAACTGAACTAATTGATTGAAATTTTCTTAATTGGTGTTTCTTTATGTTATGCTCTGGGGAGGGGTACCTGATAGTTATTGGTTTACCTTAATGCATTCATTAATCTTGATTCTGAAAAGGATTCATGTACTTTTTAAACAGAATTTTGTCTCTGTCCACTCAATTGTTTTCTGGATTAATTACTCACTCGAATATTAGTTGCGAATCGATTCGATAAACATCAATATTCAGTGAAACCATAAAGTCCAAAACCTATTGTTAAAAGGATCTTATCGTTAACCATTTGTGATTAGATTAAATGTTTGATTGGTAATTTTATATAGTATGGCTGTACCAGTAATGCGTAGAGAATGGTAAAAATAGTACGGGCTAGCTAGTTTTCGGACTGGTCATTCAAAAATAGCCAGCGTTTGCAGAGTCATTGAAAAATAGCCACTATTTTGCTGCAACAGGAACCGGTCCAGCATATTATACTGGAGATCGGTGTACCTGTGTATGAACTTCCAGCATATTATGCTAAAACTCCAACACGCGGAAAGTTCCAGCATAATATACGGGAGATTGGAGCATCTGGGTATGAACTTCCAGCATATTATGCTGGACCAGTATATTATACTGGAACTCCAGTATATTATGCTGGAGTTCCGGTATACTTATGCTGGAACTCCATTATAATATGCTGGAGTTCCAGTATACTTATGCTGGAACTCCAGTATATTATGCTGGAGTATTTTCCGGATTTGAAACAGTGTTTTCGTTCAGATTTATCTTTACATGAAAGTGGCTAAATTTCAATTACTTTTGAAACTGTGGCTATTTTTGAATGGCCACTTGTAAATCTGGCTATTTTTGAATTTCTCCCAAGAGAATGAGCCACTGTGACAGCTTTTTGCAATTAAAAATAGAAGAGTTAACCCAAATAGCCGCTCACATAATCTCTTAAATTAAAAATAGCCGGTTTGATGTATAATTCATGTATAACATATGCATAACTATGTATAATCAATGTATGATCTATGCATACCGGCTAGAAAAAAATAAACATTTAATCTGGCTACTTATTTGTATAACATCCTTTTCGGACCGATTCTTAAAAGTAAAGCACAAATTATTTTTGGACCACAATCCCTTTCGTGAACGTCAACGAGTTTGATAATACTTGATTTTTTTTCCCAGCAAAAGCCACCATTGTGGTGTAGACATCAAATGTACAATTCAAAAAAAATTAAATTGGTTTTAAACTATGGCCTATGTTACAAATGTTACGAAGAATACAATGTTTATGACATAAGAATCTTTGTATGTAGTTAGAAAAGAAAAAAAGAATCAGCGCTTGGACCCAACAATATTGATGTAATATTAAATTATAAATTATTGGTGTATTTGTCTAATTGATCTAGACATTAGAACATACAACTAGATTTTAAAACTGGGTCTAATAACAACTTTTGATAGTGTAAAAGGTCATATTAATCAATGTCTTAAGCAGGTTTATCTTTGAAAACTCTAAAGGGGGAAAAAGTTTTCCTACTTTTTGAAAAACTGAATTGTTGTTCAAAATCATAGGAAAATATTAGATTCGTTCTTCCATTTTGCCCTCTTCTTTTTAAAACGGTGGTAAATTGCATGTTAGAATGGGAAATGTATGGGGTTACGTTGAGTATGTTATTATTGTTGCGCAAGAAAATTAAGTTCTGTCTTCAAATTAGGCCAAAACTTAATATCGTTTTGCACGGACGAAATTCGGATTCTGAACAATCGAAAACAAAAATAAAAAGTATACAACGTACAAAAGATTTCTAAGCAAATTATAATTTCTTAGCAAGGCCGTCACATATAATGTGGGCTGTGGCTAGGGATGGCAAATGGGACGGTGCGAGTGCGGGGCGGTGCGGGTTTAAGGCTATGCGGAGCGGGACGGGCTTAAGGTAATGCGGGGCGGGGCGGGTGCGGGGCGGGGCGAGGTTGAGATAAGTTTTTAAAAGACTGATGCGGTGCGGGGCGATTTGCGGGTCAATGCGGGTTTACGCGGGTTTGCACAACTTTTCTTGATTTGGCCTACTGTATATTCTGTAAATTATCCAATAAGACATAAGCAAGGTTGGTGACAAACCTTAAAGACCAGAACATTTGTTTAAATAATTGATACTTCATAAAAAAATGTTAAATAAGTCAGAAGTTTTGAAAAAAAGAAAAAAGTTAGACATTTAAAGGAAAATAAAATATTGTTTAGACAAATATTTTATGATTAAATTATTACCATTTGTCACGTCAAAATCATCTAATGAAGATTCATTACACAAAAATCACTATTTTAATTTTTGCACTTAAAAAATCATACAATTCTAATTGAACAATTCAGTACAGGGGCAACAAAAGAGCTTTTCATTTTCTTGGTCGATGAAATTGAAAATCCAGCAAAACAATTAATTATGAAAAGAAACTAGCAAAATGAAAAAAAAAAATTACTTATGCGGGGCGGAGCGGTTGAATGCGGGTGTGGGTATGGGGCGGGTGGATGGGGTGCAAATGCCATGCGGGGCAGGTTGAAATCCTCGCGGGTTTATGCGAGTTTGCCCCGCAACCGCACCGCACTGCACCGTTTGCCATCCCTAGCTGTGGCATAAGAACTTTTGTTAAACTAGTTATACTTGTTTGACCAAAAAGTATGAAATCTTTTGTTAAACTAATTAAACAAGAAAATAATGGATAAATCCTAATTAAACGTAATAAGCTCCGGATCTGCACGTATTTATACGAGTGAGGTGAAAGTGCCTTCAAGCCAATTTCATTCAATATGTGTTAAATGATGCTGTTAAGATTGAATGAAGGGACAATGATGAACAATAGCTATATTAAATGGCAATAAATGTAAATAGAGGGGAAGATTCACCCAATATTGAAGAGGGTGAAGGATTATTTTCTCTGACAATGTTGTGTGACACGAATGTTAGAGAATATTGCACACTTTCTTGGATTTGATGGAAATGACAATAGAATAATTCACAAAAAGATTGAATCTCTACTAAAAGTGGTTCTTTGTATTTTTCTTGAGTGCTTATCTTACAAATGTGTTCTTATCTCCCAAATGAACCCCCCCCCCCCCTTCCCTCCCCTCTCCTTTCTCTCTCTTACTCTATATATTCTTGGGGAATATTCCCAAAGAACCCTAAAAGTACAACAGAGAGAATGTTCAAGAGAATATTCCTTTTGAAAGTTCCAAGACTATACCAACTGTTACTTACATTCCTGCTACTCGACTTCGGCCCAGACATGCCACATGATGACTCGTGCCAAGCCCCCCACGCCGAGTTGAAATCGTCGTGATAATCGTCTCTTCATACCAAATTTTCTCGGTCGAATTTTAGCCCATACAATACTTTCTGTTGATTTCGCTAAAATAAATGGAGTGAACTTTGATATGAAAATTCGTCGTTTTAATGTGAGGGAAAATGCATCTTAGTTGTATATGTTTCCTATAAAATTGCTAAAATTTGATATTTGACAAATAAAAGTGTCAAAAAATTGACAGAAAGAGTAATTGAGTTATGATATTTTTTTTCTTTCCAATACTTATTTTACGGACAAACTGTCAACAATTAATCTCGAACGTAACCAATTAAGCTATTACTATGCTTAACTAAGATTTCATTGTATAAATATTCTTTTATGCTATATATTGTAACGCTCCACCTTAGACCAGATCAGAGGAGAAAAGTTTCGAAAAGTAAAACGATGGAAAATAAATTCTCAATTAATCGCTCAGTGAAGATTTTTCTTCTTCTTCTTCTTTGTTCCGAGAAAGTACATAGTTAGGAATATATATAGAATGACATAGGTTAATAAGCAGTCGAGCTTGCACTTTTTAAGTATGTGAATTAAAAAGAAGTCGATAAGATAAAATGTACAACCCAAACCAGTTACATACACTGGATTCATGAACTGTGACACGTTTAATTATTTATTTTCTAATCTGCATGCCGAACATACTCATACATCACCACCAAACAACAAGGAATTCAGTGTAATCTCACAAGTGGGGTCTGGGGAGGGTAGTTTGTATGCAAATTTTACCCTTATCTTTAAGAAAGCAGAAAGACTGTTTCCAGTATAGACCCTCGGCTCAAGAACTCATACACGACTAGAAACTTTTTTTCGTTATTTTTCTGCAAAATAGTATTACTATAAGTAATTCCGATCGAGAACATGTCAAACACCACCAACAACAACAACAACAAAACCCTGTGTAATTTCACAAGTGGATTCTGGAGAGAGTAATGTGTACGCAGACGTTATCTCTATCTTAAGAAGGTAGAGGAGTTATTTCCGATGGACCATCGGCTCAAGAAAGGAAGAAAAATAAGAATAACATGTCAAACACCACAATAGGTTTTGAGAGCACACTCAAGCCTTCTATTTTCCTCTTTGCTAAAGAAATGAAGATAATCAAGATGGTTGAATGACTTAAACTGTAAGGGATGCTCTTCATCAACAAGCTCTTTTGGTGTTTCAACCATTACTGTATCTTCCATGAAAGAAAATTGGGCAATGGAATATCTTTCTCCCTTCCCTTCCATCATCACTCTATGATGTGGAGATTTTATCCTGTTATTGCTCCATGCCTAGTCCAAACAAATACAAAATATATCAGAAATCTTTACAAAATATAATGTGTGACTGGATCCACTGTTTACTTTTTCAAACCAGTATACATAAATTATACATAGTTATACACATATATTATATACGGATAACACATTATACATCTGTCAGCAGAGGCGGAGCTAGTCTACTAGATGCGGGTTCGGTCGAACCCAATCACTTTTGCTTTAAACACTATATTTGTATAGAAAATTCATTAAATATATAAATATTTAATTACAAACCCAATAACTAAAACGAGCAATGGGTTCCATGATAATTTCAAAACCTATAGACAAATATTACTGCCTCCGACACTATCTGTCGGCTATTTTTAGTATAAGCGATTGGACGGGCTATTTAAGGGAAAACATTTTATTGCGCCTGGTGGCTGGAGATCATATAAGGGAAAACATTTTATTGCATCTGGTGGCTGGTGCATGCACTAATTGTAGTTTATTTAATTAATAACTTGATCCTAGAGTCAACATTAAGAGCTTGTTTGGACATAAGAATTTTTTCACTTTTTTCCGAAAAAATTTTATTTTTTTTCGGAAATCAGCATTTGGCCATAAAATTTCCAGTTTTTACTTGAAGATGAATTTTGAAATTAAAGTTGTTTTTCAAAATTTTCACGCAGATCACTCATAAAACTTTAAAAACAACACAAAATTATATTTATGTCCAAACCCAACTCTAGTTTCAAATATTATTTTCACTTGAATTCTTTTTATACTATTTTTTGAAAATTTTACAATTCTTATGTCCAAACGCCCAATAAATTATCAATACAAATTCATTGAGTTTAAATATTATATACCGAGAGTGTAAGAATTTTAATCTTGCACTATCAGTAGGTCACTTAAGAGGTAACTATATGTATCGAACCATAATAAGTGAAATCAGTAACTTGAAAAAATAAGACGAGCAGTCTGTTATAATATATTAAATTACAGTGTACCATGATTGCGTCGCCGGCCATGACCACGACGGAGGACGGGGAAAGCTCAACTCCAAACCACTGACCATCTTTCCCTTTGATCTCCAAACCATTAACTTGATTCTGATGAATTGTGGACATGAAGCTCTTGTCTGTATGAGCAACAAATCCCAGTTTTGGTTCTTGTACTTGGGCTTCTTTATATTTCATAACCCTAGCAAGATAATTCACTGATTTGATGTGAGATTCATAGTACTTCTCTACACCATAGCTCTCATATATCATTCTCACCACCATTTCTTCCAGTTCTGCTGCTGCTTTCGAGTAAGCTAGCAAAGCTTCACTAACAACATACCAAGAAAAAATTTAAAATTAACAAAAAAAAAAAAAAAAAAAAAAAAATAGCACGCTCTGAATCAATATGTCTCAATTCCAAACTAGTTAGAGTTAGAAAAATCAAAATGACGCGAGAAACTATTACTCCAAAGTAAAATGAGAAGTGTAATTAAAGTTAAATTTTTTCTGAACAAACTAAAAAGAGTATTATTTTTCGGAACAGACTAAAAAGAAGTACATATCACGTATATACAATGGGACAGAGAGAGTACCTGAAAGAATTGTTTCCATTAGGCCACATGAAATTGGAGAAATTTTGGATTCCTTCAAGTGTATTAGCATTATCAATGCCCATGCTCTCATAGAGAGGAATAAATGGGATTTGACCAACATAACCATACAAAGGTTTGGTAGATTTATTCTGGATTTTTGTCTGAGTGGGAAGATCTAATAACTTCTCTAGTGCTTGAAAAACTTCATTATGGATTTTTAATGAAATTTTATCATACAAAGCTACAAAACAACCATACTCTTCAAGTGCACAAACAGCTTCTTTACATACCTTGGACCATGAATTTGTGCCTGGTTCTAAATTCTCCTTTGTGAAATCAATAATGGGAAGCTTGTGGGAAACAGTTAGAGAATCCATGGATTTTGATACTATAGTTTGTCTCTTAAATTTCTTGAAATTTCTGTGACACTATATTGTGAGAAACAACCTTAATTTTCCACCTCTCTTATAGTGGTCTTACAAACCGGAGCGGAGCTAGCCTTTCGATTGCGGGTTCGACTGAACCCAGTAGCTTTGGTCCAAACTCTATAAATTTTAAGAAATTTATTTAATTATATACGAATTATTAATTTAGAACTCAGTAACTTAAAAAGACTAGAATACTGAACTCATAAATTCTAAATCCTAGCTCTTACAGAAAAAGTTTGTCACAACATGCGAATGCTCGGAGGCTAGTGACATGGAATATTCTTTTTTATCTTAAGGACCATAAGTACGGCGGAAGTTTTTTTATTTTTTATTTTTAACAAAAGGATTTAAATGGGACAATATGTGGAGATTTTTTAATTATTTGTCCATAACGAAGGTGGTGAATTCAGAATCAATTAAGAACAACTTTGGAGTGGTATATATTACAAGGGAAGCAGACAGTCTTGATATTATTTTCTTCTATTATTACGCATGAGATTGGAGAAGCCACTAGTGGATGGTTCAAGAAAGACAAAGGAGCTCATTTTTCTTTTCTGTTCTTTGTTTTTCAAAAATGTGATTTCTTTTTACATTATTTTTGGTAGTATAGAAGCTACTCACCGATAATTGTCTAAGGAAAGTATAGAATTGTAATCTGAAAAATAAAGTGAGATATAATTCTTCGAATATAATAGATATAAAAATTCTTTAAACCGTTTGTATACGGTAGAAATCGGAGCTACCCGATTTCATTCTTTGGTCGAGAAAGGAATGTCGCGTCAAGGAGCTAGGACGTTGAGTCCGGAATAGAAGCCTCTTTTCGGACCAAGGTCGACGTCAATCGCGGCCAGAAAGAAACAGACTCCGACATCGGTATAGCTTGATAACGGAAAAGGCGAGATATCCGCGATTGGTCAAGGATCGTGGCGTGGATCTCGTAACGGATCAATCCACGGCGGTTAATCAGATGTTAATATGGTTTCCTACTATAATTAGAAGTGTGCCTTATTTAGGACCCCTCTATTATATAAAGAGGAATCCCATTCATTTGTAATCATCATTGTTCACTAAGAAGAATATATGCGCTCGTTACTTTTCTGCTATTACACTTACTGCTTATCAGAGTTGTTTTATCATTTAGTTTTCTTACTATTCCACCTCAAGACTATCCTGAGTCGGGTCGAGACCTGGCTAGCATATTGGTTTGATTTATTTTACTCTCTGATTTATTTATTTATTTTCTTGCTTATTAATTGGTATTGGACGAAATCACATATCCTTAAAATCACAATATAAGTTTAATTGTTATCCGAATTTGAGGGTAAACAGTTGGCGCCCACCGTGGGGCTAAGGATAATAGTGATTGTTCGGTGCTGATTCTGATAACACACATTATTTTACGCTTGTTCTTGTCAAGTATCTTTGCTTTCAGGTTAAAACATGTCAAACTCACAAAACGCATCCACACATGGTGATAATGGCCTCGGGTTTCATGGGGAAAACGACAACGTAATTGCTCCAGGAGCCGAGGTGCCACATGCTAATCTCAGGGGAGCACCGGTTGCCAATCCAGTCGATGTCAGTTCGCACGTTGCTTTAAATGCGGACCTAGGCGCGAACCCCGAAGGGAGTGTACGCAGAGAAGGCCGATCTGGTGTCCAAGGTACACAGGGCAGAGGAGACGGAGGAGTCAGTCTCCAAGTGATATTCGAGATGCTACAGGCTCAGCAAGCCGCTATTTCTCAGCTACAAAATCAACATAGAGCTCCGAGTGGGGTCGAGCCAGAAATCACTCGTCGTACTGAGCCAGTGCCAGGGAGGTCGAATGGTAACGAATCGGGGACCGATCCTGTAGTAATGAAAATGCTCGAGGAGCTCACCAAAAGAATTGAGTCAGGAGAGAAGAAATCGAAGCTAATGATAAAAAAGTGGAAACATATAACTTTCGAGTTGATCAGATACCGGGGGCACTGCCAATCTTGAAAGGGATGGATTCAAAGAAATTTGTACAAAAGTCGTTCCCTCCGAGTGCGGCTCCGAAACCCATTCCAAAGAAGTTTTGTATGCCGGACATACCTAAATAAAATGGGACCACCGATCCCAACGAGCATGTCACCTCCTACACATGCACCATCAAGGGTAACAATTTGGAAGATGATGAGATCGAATCTGTTTTATTGAAGAAGTTCGGGGAAACCCTATCGAAGGAGCAATGATTTGGTACCACAATCTACCACCAAATTCCATCGACTCGTTTGCTATGTTGGCAGACTCTTTCGTAAAGGCACATGCCGGAGCCAAAGGTTGCGACAAGGAAATCGGACCTTTTCAAAGTAAGACAAAGGGATAATGAAATGTTGAGGGTGTTTGTATCCCGATTTCAAATGGAATGCATGGAGTTGCCACCAGTCACAGATGATTGGGCCGTTCAAGCTTTCACACAGGGATTGAATGAACGAAGTCCGGTAGCATCACATCAGCTGAAGCAAAATCTTATCGAGTATCCGGCTGTAACTTGGGCAGATGTGCACAATCGGTACCAACCGAAGATCAGGGTCGAGGATGACCAATTAGGAGCTCCTTCCGGTACAGTGCACCCAATTAGGTCAGCCGCCAAAAATCAGAGGGACATCGACATGGAGCCAAGATCGAACAAAGACCGATATCAACCATACACCTCAGATCGCAGGAACAGTGGTTCAGGACGCAATTCCGCCCGGAACGATCGGAGAAGCTATCGAGGACAGAATTCTCAAGGAATCATGAGAAAAAATGGTTTTGATAAGTACGTCGACCCCACAGAGGCACCTCGATTGTCGGAGTATAATTTTAGTGTTGATGCGTCAGGAATTGTATCGACAATTGGAAGAATCAAAGATACCAGATGGCCCAGGCCCATACAGATCGATCCTTCCTAAAAGAACCCCAATCTGATGTGTAAATATCATGGCACGCATGGTCACAGGACCGAGGATTGCAGGCAATTGAGAGAGGAGGTAGCCCGTTTATTCAATGAGGGCCACATTCGACAATTCCTAAGTGATCGAGCCAAGAATCATTTTAGGGAAAGGGATGCCAACAGGAAAAATGAACAGGAGGAGCCGCAGCATGTAATTCATACGATCGTCGGAGGGGTCGATATTCCACAAGGACCCGTGTTCAAACGCACTAAGGTATCAATTACTAGAGAGAAACAGACCAGGGACTATGTGCCAGAAGGCACCGTTTCATTCAACGACGAGGAGGCAGAAGGAATTTCTCAGCCTCACAACGACGCTCTGGTAATTTCTATCTTATTAAATAAAGTTCAAGTTAAGCGTTTTATAGTGGATCCAGGTAGCTCGGCAAATATCATCCGATCAAGGGTCGTGGACCAGCTCGGCCTACAAGATCAGATCGTGCTCGCAGCTCGGGTCTTGAACGGTTTCAATATGGCTAGTGAAACAACTAAATGAGAGATTATCCTACCGGTGACCGTGGCTGGAACTATCTAAGATACCAAGTTTCACGTAATCGAGGGCGACATGAGGTACAAATCCCTGCTCGGGAGGCCTTGGATCCACAACATGAGGGCAGTCCCTTCGACTCTCCATTAAATGATGAAATTCCCGACGTCGGATGGGGTAAAAATGGTGTACAGGGAGCAGCATTCTACAAAAGAAATGTTCACGATCGATGAGGTAATACCGATATCGGTGCTATCAACATCGGAAGGATCGAGCATCAAGGGTAAACAGGAAGTCAAATAGCAATCACCGCCACCAACCTCGACTGAATCGGAGAAGCAGGAAATGGTAGAGGAAGAGGAAGATTTTTAGACCCCTCGGACTTTTGTTATTCCTGAAGATTCCGACGCCACCAAATCAACGGTCGAAGAGCTAGAACAGGTTATATTGATCGAGTACCTGCCCGAGCAAAAGGTATACCTGGGAACGGGATTAACCCACGAACTCAGGAAAAAGCTTATTCAATTTCTTATTGATAACATAGATTGTTTCGCTTGGTCCCACTTAGACATGACAGGGATCCTATCGGAGATAACAAACACATCGACTAAGCCTGGACCCAAAGTTCAGACCGGAGAAACAAAAGAGAAGGCCCCAGTCCGAGGTAAAGCACGCATTCATAAAGGACGAGGTAACTAAACTTCTCAAAATAGGGTCCATTCGGAAAGTGAAATATCCCGAATGGTTAGCCAATGTAGTCGTAGTTCCTAAAAAAGGGAACAAACTTAATATGTGTGTAGATTATAAGGATTTAAACAAGGCATGTCCCGAATATTCTTTTCCACTGCCTAACATCGATCGCATGATCGACGCCACGGCCGGCCACGAGATCCTTAGTTATCTTGATGCCTATTCCGGGTACAATCAAATCCAAATAAACCCGGAAGACCAAGAAAAGACTTCGTTTATCACCAAGTATGGAACATATTGTTATAATGTAATGCCCTTCGGGCTAAAAAATGCAGGAGCTACTTACCAACGCCTAGTAAATAAAATGTTCGAAGAATAGATAGGTAAGTCAATGGAAGTATATATTGATGACATGCTTGTTGAATCCCTGCGCGCAGAGGACCATTTGACACATTTGCAGGAAATATTCGAGATACTGAGAAAATACAACATGAAGCTCAACCCCGAGAAATGCATTTTCGGGGTCGGTTCGGGAAAGTTCCTTGGCTTCATAATGTCGAATCGGGGAATCGAGATCAACCCCGATAAAATCAAGGCTATCGAAGACATCACCATCATGGACAGCGTTAAAGTCGTGCAAAGGATGACAGGGCGGATAGCTACCTTAGGCCGATTCATCTTGAGATCGTCGGATCGGAGTCATAGATTCTTATCTTTACTCAAAAAGAAGAACGATTTCGCCTGGACCCCGGAATGCCAACAGGCGTTAGAAGAATTGAAGCTCAAGCCAACCATTGCTTCATACTCCAAAGGCAGATGAAAAACTCTACTTGTACGTGACAGTCTCAGAGATCGCGGTAAGTGGTGTCCTGGTTCGAGAAGATCAAGGTACGCAATTCCC